TATATCTGTAATATAGGAAATTTCTGAGTGAAATAGGGGATACTCGTTATCTGATCTGTCCCCCTTTAACTTATTAGGGCATGGCAAGCTGCTTTTTTGGCAATAATTACCTATCTACATACTGTATTCCTTTGGGGTACTACTGAAATAGTTTCCTTACTAGCTGCTACTTTGTTTCGACTCTCATTTAAGTGAATAGATTTGTTATACTTTTGGAAACTTTCCCATTTTGTTAAGGGATTATGCCTTGTAGTCACCTCTAGCCAGCTAGATTTTCAGTCTCCAGTGCTATGGTTTTAATTCCCTAATTTTTAGGGTGAGTGTGTGTTTTTGGGATTCTACTTTTGTTTTTTCAATAAAGTTTATTATTATTTTGTAAGCTCTAACATTGATTTACTATTAGGGGGTAGTGGTCTTGAGGAGAATTCCCCCGTTTTCACGAGGAGACTTCTCCTCACTATTTTGTGTTCTCTATACTATCTCGGGTTATGCCCTCTACTACCCCTGTAACCCCTTCTGTACTCCCTGCCAAAGTTATTTTCTGGCTGGAAGTATCCTGTATTATTATTATTAATATGTTATAATTTATATAGCGCCAACAAATTCCGTAGCGCTTTACAGTGGGTGGACGAACAGACATGTAGTTGTAACCAGACAAGTTGGACAAACAGGAACAGAGGGGTTGAGGGCCCTGCTCAATGAGCTTACATGCTAGAGGGAGTGGGGTAAAGTGACACAAAAGGTAAGGATAGTATTAAGTCGGGAGCTATTAACAGTTTAATTGATACGCTTTAATGAAGAAGTGGGTTTTTAATGATTTTTTGAAGGAGTGGAGACTGGGAGAGCATCTAACGGTGGAAGTGAGTTCCACAGGAATGGTGCATCCCTGAAAATGTCTTGAAGTCGAGCATCAGAGGTGGGAGTACGGATAGAAGATAGTCTTCAGCAGAGCGCAAGGGCCTAGACGGGACATACTTGTGTATTAGTGAGGATAGATAGGTGGGAGAAGCATTATGTAGAGATTTGAAAGCAAGAACCAGAATTTTAAACTGAGCCCTATATCTTACAGGAAGCCAATGTAGGGACTGACAGAAGGGTGAGGTGTGAGATGTGTGGGCGGACAGGAAGATGAGCCTCGCCGCCGCATTCATTATGGACTGTAATGGCGCAAATTGGGAGCACGAAAGACCACTGAGAAGCGGATTACAATAGTCAAGGCGAGAAAGGACAATGGAATGGACCAGTACCTCAGTTGCATCTGGTGTTAAGTAGGGTCGGATGCGCGCAATGTTTTTGAGATGGAAACAACAGGATTTGGTGATAGACTGAACATGAGGCGTGAAGGAGAGTCAGAGTCAAAGAGAACACCTAGGCAAAGAGTCTGCGTGGTGGAGCTGATGGTAACACCGTTGACTTGGAGGGAGGGAGACACAGGAGTAGCAACACTTGAGGGAGGAAAGACTAGAATTTCAGTTTTGGTCAAGTTGAGTTTAAGGAAGTGGCCAGCCATCCAATTATAAATAGCAGAGAGGCAGTCAGAGACACTAGTCAAGAGGGACGGGGAGAGATCAGAAGAAGACAGGTAGATTTGCGTGTCATTCACATAGAAATGATATTGGAAGCCAAAGGAGCTAATGAGTTTACCAAGGGATGCAGTATAGATAGAGAACAGTAGGGGACCAAGGACTGAACCTTGGGGGACACCAACAGAGAGGAGTTGGGGAGAAGAAGCAGAGCCAGAGAAAGAAACATTTAAAGAGTGCTGGAAGAGGTAGGAGGAGCACCAGGAGAGAACAATATCTTTTAGACCGATATTGCGGAGGATGACAAGAAGCTGTTGATGATCAACAGTGTCAAAAGCCGCAGACAGGTCAAGGAGAATTAGGATAGAGTAAGACCACGAGATTTTGCAGTGAGTAGATCATTGGATACTTTGGTCAATGCCGTTTCCACAGAGTGCTTAGCGCGGAAACCAGACTGAAGTGGGTCTAGCAGAGAGTTAGACTCCAGGAAGCCTGTCAATCTTGCATACACAACTCTTTCAAGGATCTTGGATGCAAAAGGCAGTAGTACAATCTAAACCACTACTATTGGGGTTTCTAGCCACTCCTATTTATTCTATTGTGTGGTCTGGACCAAAGACCTGCGGAAAACCTGCAAAGACAATTTAAATTAGCATTTTTTAAATTGGCTATTATGTTTTATAAGCATGTATATGAATTGTTGTGCATGTGAATGTAGTGTAGGAATGTGGTGTGCGGGGGCTATGGTATTTCAATGGAGAGGCTCTTAATATGCCAATGCCCTATAATAAGAAAAAATTGATAACAATTATTTAACAAATGTAGAATACATAGTGCGGCTAACGTGTGTTAAACAGTGGTGGAACCGATCACTCACAGGCAGGTATGGACATTTGACCCGTTAGATCCCCTTTTTCTGTATCCTGTGTTTAAACAGCAGTGACTGTGTCCAGACAGCATAACTCAGCTTCTGTCAATCTGTGTGTGTGTTCAGGACAATACCCTGCATGTCATTATTATACATTCTACCTTGTCCTGTTTGTTTTCATGTGATGAGGTAATATCAAAGGAAAAGATTTATTTATTTATTTATTTTGCCTTCTGGCTTACTTTCCTGTCTGCTCTCAATGCCTTCCCTTCTCCCTCCATTGAAATGACGGAATCCCCAGTCTGTTTCCTCCTGTTTAATGCCGTTGCCTGGATCACCATGGCACGGATCCAAACTGCAGGGAGCTTGCTCCACAGCCTGCTAGTTCTGTCCACTGTCTCCTTCACTCCTATATTCTCAGAGGTTTTTTTTTTCTCAGCATATAAACACTACTTTTATCTTCAGTGTTTCCTCATGTGTGTGTTTCATATCCTTATTTCTCCCCTGTTTTTCCTGAGATTCCATAACATTCCTGTGTTATTTTTACCACAGATCACAATTCATGGGTTTAATATGTTGCCATGCTCACTTGGCAGTCATGTGCCATATAAAATAACCCATAAGCACATTGCAGTCTTATCATGTGATCGGCATATAAGATGTCGTGTATTGCTGAGTGTCTTCTGGAACAAAAGTGCTTAGTAAACACAACCTTTATATATGTTTATTCAGCTGTCTGCGTAAAAAAAACCATTATTTAATATTTCTTTACTTTCTAGACTGTCATGGGAGGGATACAAGTGTATGACAGCTTACATCAGTGTCAGTCTGAGTACCATGTGAAATGGTCAATTCTGACACCATAGTGTGTTACATAAAAAACTTTTGTGACACGTCGGTGTATAAGTGTAATATGATAGCTATTCCATGCAGAGCATCTGTTTGTTAATATTGTATTGATCAGTATAAATTACTGAAGGTATGTTCCTCTAGTGCTAAAGTTGGTTACCCATGGAGATCTGTTACCTGATCTCTCAAGAACACGCATGCACACTGACAGAGCCACTCTATGATGTCCTGTACGGTAAGTGCAGTTTGATTTACAGTGAGGTTTAGGGTTAGGGGGGTACAATTCAGACCCATGAATTAGGAACTTAGGGCTAAGATGAAAATTTGGTAGTACTTAAGCCTAACCCCAAAATATTTTTCTAACGTTAACCCTAAATGTAATATTAACCTTAACCCTTAATGTTATGCTAACCATGACTGTAAACCCAAGTAACATGATCATGCAACTTTAAGACTAATCCCAATTCTAACTTAATTATTAATTTTCCTAATTTAAGGTGCCGTATCGCACCCGTAGCACATACCTGATAAATTAGGTATGTGATCTTTATGGAAAATCAATGCACCTTTACAGATTGCGTCTCTTATCCATAGTAATACACATTTTATACACATCCTGTGTGGGCTCAGCCTTGTATGATTAAAGATTAGTATATATGCAAAATCACAACACCCAGCTATTGGTAAGTGAAAAAAACCCTGTCAAGTAGAAATTTAGCCCTGGTGAGAAGAAATTTCATGTGCCATGAACCCTCAACGCTTGTTTGTTTTCTGTTTCTGTTATGTGTTTTTTTAGGATGGACACTAGGGGGACTCTATGGTGCCCCAAGACCATGGAGGTTTCAGCCCTCCGTGTGTGTGTGTGTCTCTCTCTCTCTATATATATATATATTGAGACCGAAAGCAAGGAATTGTGCTGGAGGGAATTTATATATTTCCCAGATTTTGCAAGGTTCCTACTTTGCGTAATTAGCCCCAGGGAAATGTGTTATGTTAAAATGAATATTGCACTTTATATAATTGTATATTTGGGCCCTGGGGTGGAGCACTTGGAGAGTAGGGTGGGCCAGTGCTCCACTCCACATTTTGGAAGTTGCTTGGAATCTACAGGTGAGAAGTCCAGTTCCAGAGTTTCAATCCTAATTTAACTCCCCTGAAAAGAATTGTCAATTACAGGTGCTATTAAGTACTCCCCTGCCAAAGGAGGAGAGAGGTTGTGTTTGATTTTTGTGAGTGGAAATAGAGAGCTGAAAACCCTGAAACATATAAGGTTGTTGTTTATGTTTATGTTGGGAAATGGACAAGCCATCCAACCCAATTAGCTAATTATTTTGTTTAGTTAGTGCTCAGAAGAGCAAGGATTTTGTTTTATATATTTTGTTACAACCTTTTATACCTTACTGTGCATTTATTTTGGAACCACAAAAAAAAGAGCAAGTCCTTTTACCTCATCCAACGTGTGAAGTGTCTCTAAAGCCTGAAAAGACTGTGTATAACAACCCAATCCCAGGACAAGGCACCAAGGGAAAGGAGTACTTTTGTCACATATGGTGGAGAATGCAGGCAACACACAGCAAAGTCTGTAAGTAGGGAGAAGGAGACTGCTGAGAAAATGGAGGATGTCATGAAAGCTTTGCTCCAGTCCACTGCTGTACAGCAAGAGACAAACAGAAGGACTGCAAAGACTAATGCAATACAGCAAGAGAGCATTTCAATACTGCATCAACTTGTACTGGCTCAAAAGGAAAATACAGATGCTTTCAGGGGCGGACTGAGCACTCGGGCACATCGGTCATGGACCGAGGGCCCGAGGCTCTTGGGGGCCCGCCTGCCTGTAGCATTGTAATGGCTCAGCTGAGGAGCTCAACAAGCTCCCCAGCCAGCCTGCACTGAGGGGCCCGCACGACCCTCTGCGGGCCCCTGTTATTAAATACTTACCCCCTTGGCCGGCCGCAGCAGAGAGCTTGTAGCACACTGAGAGACAGCCCAGGGGCCTTATCAAAGACCCTACAGGCTGTCTCTCACTGTGCCTGTCCGAAAGTGCTGCTGTGAGCTGAACACAGCATGCAGGCTGCCTGTAACTGAGCAGCCTTATGCGGAGCTGCTCTATCAGTGTTACAGGCAGCTTGACCCCGCTGCAGTACCATGGCCGGCCAGGGAGGGAGCTCTTCAGGATTGGCTGCACCCACCAGGGGTGCAAACAAGCTTATTCTGCCACGGGACCACCAGGGATAAGGATTCCCCACTCCACGGACAAAGGTAAGGCTCAGGGAGGGGGGAACACATTATTTAACTTTTTCCCCACAGCTCTTATGTCTCCACCCCCTCCACCTTTCACCACTCCTTCATCACCCCCACACCCCTTCACCACCCCCACACACCTTCATTAACCCTTCATCTCCCCCTACACACCTTCATCACCCCCACACTCCTTCACCACCCCACACCCCTTCATTAACCCTTCATCTCCACTACACCCTTTCATCACCCCTACACCCCTTCATCTCCCCCACACCCCTTCACCACCCCACACCACTTCACCACCCCTTCATCACCCTCACACCCCTTCATCACCCCCACACTCCTTCACCACCCCCACACCCCTTCACCACCCCACACCACTTCACCACCCCTTCATCACCCCCACACACCTTCATCTCCCCCACACCCTTCACCACCCCACACCACTTCACCCACCCCCTTCATCACCCCCCCACACCCCTCTCATCTCCCCCACACCCCTTCTCACCACACCCCACACCACTTCTCACAATTTCCTTCATCACCCCTCTACACTCCTTCACCACCCCCACAATCTCCTTCATTAACCCTTTCATCTCCACTACACCTTTCATCAATTCTCACACACCCCCTTCATCTCCCCACACCCCCTTCACCACCCCCACACCCCTTCACCACCCCCACACCACTCACCACCCCTAATCACCCCCACACCCCTTCATCTCCCCTACACCCTCATCACCCCTTTATCTCCCCTACACCCCTTTTGTCTCCCCCACACCCCTTTGTCTCTCACACCCCTTCGTCTCCCCTACACCCCTTCGCCTCCCCCTACACCCCTTCATCAACCCCACACCCCATCATCTCCCCCCACACCCCTTCACCAACCCTTCATCACCCCCACACCCCTTCATCACCCCTTCATCACTCCCACACCCCTTCATCAAATACTACCCTAAAAAAACATACTCTGAATCCACGGATCCTGATACAACACACAAAAATACACATATAAATACATATATTAGCTTACACCAGGGCTCACAGTGAATAGTGTGCATTCAATTTACATGCACATATAATCAAATACACGGTACATCTACACTATCATGTGTACCAGCATATATATTAATCTGTAAGGGGCCCGGGTCCTAGTTTTGCCCGGGGGCCCGAGGCACTGTCAGTCCACCCCTGGATGCTTTATTCAAGCAAGTTGAAGCAGCACAGGCAGCAGCTCATCAATTGTTCAGAGAGGAGCAGCAGCATGCCACATGTGCCATACAGCAGGAGATCCAGAGTCTATCACAAAGACTGGCCAGGGATTCCACAGAATCACCACAATGTCCAAAGGTGAACAGAGGGAGTCACTACTTGCAAAAGATGGTATCCACAGATGATGTAGAGGCCTACCCAATGGCATTTGAGCGAACCGCTGAGCGAGAAGGTTGGCCTGCAGTGGAATGGGCAAGTCTGCTAGCACCATTTCTTACTGGTGAATCCCAGAAAGCATACTATGATCTGGAACCAGCTGAAGCCCGTGACTACAAGAAGCTGAAAGCAGAAATACTGGCACGCCTGGGGGTGACAACAGCTGTCCGTGCCCAGAGATTTCCTTCATGGTTCGTTCACAGATGTTTGACTTGATACACCTTGCCAGAAAATGGTTGCAGCCAGAGATCAACTCACCCAGCCGCATTGTGGAGCAACTGGTGATGGAAAGATTCCTGAGAGGCTTGCCTATTGGACTTTGTCGGTGGGTCAGTCAGAGCAATCCCCAAACAGCAGACCAATTGGTTGAACAGTATATAGCAGCGGGAGAACTGCTTCAACCTCCTGGCCAAGACAGACCCAAGAATCAGAAAACCTACAGCCCCAGTAAATCTGGTAAGACTGTTCCAGGGAAAAGGGGGTCTTTTGATAGGAAAACAGGGTTTTATTACCCAAGAGACAATGTTAAAAGAGAAAAAGACTTTGGGAGGTGGGAAGAGCCTACAAAGGAATCAGAAAGTACTAATTATGGTATAAAATGCTTTAAACGCAGAAACTTTCGGCATATTGCAAAAGACTGTCCTGAAAATGTTGAACCAATGGAGTGTAATTTTGGTAATAATTGGTAAGGAATTGCACTTTATTCACAGGTTGTATGTTCTGCGGAAAAAAAATTGTTATTTGAATAGTCACCCTGGGTGTACCGTGAATGTGAAGGGAAAATATATACAGGCATTGCTAGATTCAGGGAGTATGGTTACCCTTCTAGACCAATCCTTATTACAGGATACTCATATTGTTAACGCTGAAAAAGTTGATATTGCTTGTGTGCACGGGGATATACATAACTACCCTACTGCAGATATACTTGTTAAGACCCAGTGTGGTACTGTAAACTGCAGAGTGGGGCTGGTACCAAAACTGGCACATGAGATGATTATTGGAAGGGATTTTCCTAATTTTCTAGACCTATGGGCCTGTTATGAAAACCCATCAGGTGAACAGAATAATGAATTTCCTTTTGCAGATACTCTGGCAGATGAGAGAGATCATGATGATGGGCCTAACAATATTCAGCACTCCCCTATAAAAACATTAGTTGGTGAAAATCCAGAACAAACTAATGCGGGACCTTCTAAAAGCTCTGACCCAGAAATAGAGTTAATTGATTTAGAGGTTAGGCCTGGTAACTTCAGAAGTGCACAGTGGTCTGACCCAACATTATTGGTAGCCAGGAATAATATTTATATAAGGAATGGATCCCCTGTCAATCCAGGGAATTCTCTTACTTACCCTTATTTTGAAGTGGATAATGATCTGTTGTACAGAGTTGAGAAAAGAGTCCGTTATTACAAAGCAGCTGTTAGTACCACAAGCCTATGGGCGCACTGTGTTACACCTTGCACATAGCCATGTTTTGGGTGGCCAACTAGGGGTTGACAAAACAAGAGAGCGAGTTTTGAGGAGATTTTATTGGCTTGGAGTAATCGCAGCTATCAAAAACTACTGTTTGTCATGCCCTGAATGTCAGGTCACTGCGCCCTTTACGGCTTACCGTAGCCCATTAGTACCCCTGCCTGTTATTGAAGTGCATTTGAATGTATTGCTATGGATTTTGTAGGTTCTCTGGTAAAATCCACTAGGGGGCATTAGTATATATATTAGTAGTGCTAGACTATGCTACCCATTACCCTGAGGCAATACCTATGCGTACAACCTTAGCAAAGTCCATTGCTAAAGAGTTAATGATGATGTTTAGCCGGGTTGGGATTCCCAAGGAGATCCCATCAGATCAGGGTACTCCATTCATGTCCAAGGTTACAAAGGAACTCTGCAAGCTCCTTTACATTAAACACCTCAAAACCTCTGTTTATCACCCACAAACCAATGGTTTGGTTGAGCGATTTAATAAAACTTTAAAGCTATGCTGCGCAAAGTAACTGATAAAGATGTGAAAAACTGGGACTTTCTATTGCCCTATTTAATGTTTGCCATTGGAGAAGTACCCCAAGCTTCTACTGGTTTCTCACCTTTTGAATTATTATATGGCAGACACCCCAGGGGATTACTTGACATAGCAAAGGAAACTTGGAAGCAAGAAGCTAACCCACATTGCAGTATAATAGAACACATAACTCAGATGCAGGAACGTATTGAAGCCATTATGCCAATAGTCAGAGAACACATGCAAAAGGCTCAACAAAATTAGCAGAATAGCTATAATAAGAATGCTAGAATTCGAGTATTTCAACCAAGAGACAGAATATTAGTCCTGGTTCCCACCGTAGAGAACAAATTCCTGGCAACTTGGCATGGGCCATATGAGATTATTGAAAGAGTGGGAGAGGTAAATTATAAAGTAAGGCAACCAGGTAGAAGAAAGGAAGTGCAGTTATACCATGTCAATTTGCTAAAACCATGGAAAGAAAGGGAAGTTCTTGTTACTACAGAGACTTCAACCTTCCCTGATAAGTGTAATATTGACCCCTGAAGTAAATATCTCAGAGACCCTGTCAATACACCAGACGAGGGAAGTTAAAGAGTTCATTAGATTAAATAAAGAGATATTCTCCCCAGTCCCAGGAAGGACTAGTGTGATTAAACATGACATTTTGACAGAACCAGGAAAAAGGATCAATCTCAAACCATACAGAATACCCGAGGCTCGCAGAGAAGCTATCAGAGCAGAGGTTAAGAAAATGTTAGATCATGGAGTCATTGAGGAGTCACAAAGTGACTGGAGCAGTCCAATTGTACAGGTACCAAAACCTGAAAATACAGTACGATTTTGTAATGATTATCGCAAACTGAATGCTATTTCTAAGTTTGATGCATACCCCATGCCTAGAGTTGATGAGCTAGTGGAACGACTTGGGAGAGCTCGGTACCTCACTACATTAGATTTAACCAAAGGTTATTGGCAAGTACCACTCACAGAACGAGCAAAAGAAAATACAGCATTTTCTACTCCTGACGGCCTATTTCAGTACAGGGTTTTGCCTTTCGGCTTGCATGGTGCCCCTGCCACATTCCAAAGAATGATGGACAGAATACTAAAGCCGCATGTGCGCTATGCAGCTGCATACTTGGATGATGTTGTAGTACACAGTGAGGATTGGGAATCTCACCTTCCAAAAGTACAGGCTGTCCTTAACTCAATACAAAATACTGGCCTAACCGCTAACCCTAGTAAGTGTACGATTGGCCTAGAGGAAGCAAAATATTTGGGCTACTCTACTGGTAGGGGACTAGTGAAACCCCAAGTTGCTAAAATTGAAGCCATACGAAATTGGCCAAGACCACTGACTAAGAAACAGGTGAGAACATTTCTTGGCCTCATTTGATATTACAGGAGATTTATATCCAATTTTGCTACCATTGGAAGCCCATTAACTGACCTTACTAAAGCTAACGCTCCAGTAGTGGTAAAATGGTCCCCAGAGACTGAACAATCATTCAGAAAGCTTAAAGAAGCCATTTGTGCCCAACCAGTGTTGGTAACACCTGATTTTTCTAAAGAATTTATTTTACAAACAGATGCATCCGATGTAGGGCTTGGTGCCGTTCTCTCTCAGGAAATTCAGAGGGAGGAGCACCCCATATTATATTTAAGCAGGAAGCTTAATCCCCAAGAAAGAAACTATTCCATTGTTGAGAAGGAGTGTCTGGCTATAAAGTGGGCAGTAGACACACTTAAATACTATCTCTTGGGACGAAAATTCAGACTAGTGACAGACCATGCACCTGTTGCTTGGATGAGCCAAAACAGGGAGAAAAATAGTAGAGTAACCTGCTGGTTCCTTAGCTTGCAACCCTACAATTTTTCTATAGGGCTGGGTGTAAACAGGGAAATGCAGATGGTCTTTCGCGGATGCATTCTCTAATGTCCATGGTTGCTCGACCCAATAGGTCTGAGCTGGGGGGAGGATGTGTGACCGAAAGCAAGGAATTGTGCTGGAGGGAATCTATATATCTCCCCAGATTTTGCAAGGTTCCTACATTGTGTAATTAGCCCCAGGAAAATGTGTTATGTTAAAATGAATATTGCACTTTAAATATGTGTATATTTGGGCCCTGGGGTGGAGCACTTGGAGAGTAGGGTGGGCAGTGCTCCACTCCACATTTTGGAAGTTGCTTGGAACCTACAGGTGAGAAGTCCAATTCCAGAGTTTCAATTCTAATTTAACTCACCTGAAAAGGATTGCCAATTACAGGTGCTATTTTTTTGAATTTTTCACACACAAACAGCACTTTCACTGATGATATCATTGTTGTGATACATTTTACTGTTTTGAAACACTAATATTTGTGTTCAGCGAAGTCCAACACAGTATAACAGTACCCCCCATGTACAGGTTTTATAGTGTTTTTGAAAGTTATAGGGTCAAGTATAAGGCTTGATTTTCAGGTTTTTTTTCACATTGAAATTTGCCAGATTGGTTATGTTGCCTTTGAGAGCATATGGTAGCCCAAGAATGAGAATTACCCCGATGATGGCATACCATTTGCAAAGAAGACAATCCAAGGTATTGCAAATGGGGTATGTTCAGTCTTTTTTAGTAGCCACTTAGTCAAAAACACTGGCCAAAGTTTGCATTCATAATAGTTTTTTTGCATTTTTAACACACAAACAAATATAAATGCTATCTCTGGTCAGTGTTTGTGACTAAGTGGCTACTAAAAAAGACTGGACATACCCCATATTGAACACCATGCATTGTCTACTTAAAAAATAAATGTACATGTGAGGTGTGATTCAGAGATTTATGGCAGATAACAGTGTTACAATGTCACTATTGATAAATTTTTTAAATATATATTTTGAAACCGCAATGTTATATCCCTATAACTTTTCAAAAAAAGCTAAGAACATGTTAACAATGGGTATTTCTAAACTCAGGACAAACTTTTGAAATTATTTAGCATAGGTGTTTTTTGGCGGTTGTAGATTCGTAACAGATTTCGGGGGTCAAAGTTAAAAAAGTGTGTTTTTTTTTTAAAACATTTTTTCATCATATTTTTTTATAGTAAATTATACGATATGATGAAAATAATGGTATCTTTAGAAAGACCATTTAAGGTGAGAAAAACAGTATATATTATGTGTGGGTACAGTAAATGAGTAAGAGGAAAATTACAGCTAAACACAAACACAGCAGAAATGTAAAAACAGCCCTGGTCCCAAACGGTAAGAGCATTGAAAAGCGGTCTGGTCAAGGGGCTAAAATAAAAAGTTAATGGGAGAACTGGTTGTTGGTGATGCCATGCACCTTAGCCCACTGAGCGATTTGGTTCTCCCCCCTTCAATATTATAATTAAGGCCCCCATCTACTGAAAATGGGAGGGGGCAAGTAGAGATTTTCTCCCTTATTTCACAATATAACATTATGACATTAGGATGTCCCCAATTTCTTTTTTTAAATAGGCCTGACCCACTGGCCATGGGTGGGGGATGGACAGTGATCTATTCACCCCCATTATTTATTTTAAAGTCACCCACATGATGGCCAGAGAAAGGTACTATGCCCCCTTCCTCGTTATTTACCAAGCCTCATAGTGAAGCTTTCCTAGCAAGTGGGTATTAGTGGCTACCTAGTTGCTTGTTTTAAACATTTAGCATATATGCTAGTTTTAAAGATTTAACCAATATCCCACCACCAGCCATAAGAGAATTGCCATTGCAGTCAGAATTCGGTCATTACCCGTAGATTTTGTCCATCTGGTGAGAATTCAAAGTTAATTTAAAAAAATTCTCTAAGTCAGCCAAGCTTTCCATTAAGTTACTCAGTCTGAAATTTGAAATTTACTTTGAATTCTCACTTTAGTAAATAACCCTGAGAATGTCCTTGACATAAGCCAAGAAGAGCAGTTACATAGTTGCTTATTATCTAGGTTGCAAAAAGACTAAAGTCCCTCAAGTTCAACCCTGAAGTACATTCTTTAATGCTGTTGATCCAAACTAAGGCAAATTGTAGTAATTTCTAATTATGCCAAATAAAGGGGAAAAAAATCCTTCTTGACTCCATAATGGCAGTAAGATTTATCCTTGGATCAACAATCATTTCTCCTTGGATCAACAATCTGTTCACATACATATCAATTATATCCTTGAATGTTCTGTTATAACAAAAAAAATCCAAGCTTTTTAAAAAATTATATATAGAATCTGAAAACACAAACTTTTTAGGTAAAAAAAAATCCACATCTTTCTGTCTCTGTTTTCTGGTTCTGCAATATTCTTTTTTAAAACTGGTACCCAAAGATGTACTGCATATTTAGGTGGGGTCTTAACATTGATATGCAAAAAATATATTTCAATCATGTAAATCAAAACCTCTTTTTATATATGAAAGTACCATACTAACTTTTGCAACGGCAGACTGGCATTGCATACTGTTGTCTAGTTTGTGATCTATAATTGTTTCCGAGTCTTTTTCACTTTATGTTATCCATAATTCCCTAATAATGTATAAGTGGCTTGTGAGTTAGTTATTCCAAAATGCATAACTGCATTTATCTGTATTAAATCTCATCTGCCACTTGCCTGCCAAGTCCACCAATTTATCCAAATCCCTCTGTACAGAAGTTATATCATGTTGAGATTGCATTTTCTTACCTAGTTTTGTATCACCTGCAAACACCGGAAAATTCCTTTTAATACCCACTTCAAAATCATTTATAAAGTGATTAAAGAACCCCGAGGCACTCCACTTACCACTTTTGTCCAATTTAAACATTTTTTATTTGCAATTACTCTCTCACTCTATCTTTAAGCAAATGTTCTATTCAAAAACATGATTTTTCATCTAAACCAACTGATTTCAGTTTTACTATTTTTTTTGTGTGGAACTGTATCAAATGCCTTAGCAAAAGTCTGTTAAATTATTTCCCTATCACTGATGTTAAGCTCATGGGTCTGTAGTTTCTGGATTGAGCTTTTGAAGCTTTTTAAAAAAAAATAGGCACCACATCTACTTTTCTCCAATCCACTGGTACAATTCCTGTAGGAAAAGAATCCTCAAAAATGAAAAACAGTGTTATGGATATTTCTACACTAAGCTTCCCAAGCACGCGTGGGTGAATACCATCTGACCTTGGGGCTTTGTTTACATTAACTTTATTTGATTTCTGAAACTCTTTATCCTGTGTTAACAAATCTGTTTGCTGTAAGGCTTAAAACATGGATTTACAAATCTACAGCCATAGATTCTCATTCCATATATACTGAAGAAAATATATTATTTTGAATTTCTGACTTGTCCTGATCCTCCCTGATTAACTCGCCCATCCCATCCCACTTTCCAATGGACTAACACTTTCACTCTTAGCCTTTTTGTTATTACGTGTATGTACTTGAGAAACTTTTTGAGGTTGAACTTGCTCTCATTGGCTATGAGCTTTTAATTTTCAAGTATAGCCCAACTAATCACCATTTTGCAAGCCCTGTTGCCACGTTTATATTTGTTATAGGATACAATTGACCAATTTGATTTATATGTTTTAAATGTCATTTGACCCTTTTACTAAGTCACATTCTAATTTGCTTCTTTCATATTTGTTTCCCAATGGTATGCATTATGAAATGTACTTTTCTAGAATTTATTTAAAGTCCTTTCATTTATCCTCTGTGCTTTTGCCAGTGAGTATATCCTCACAGTCAATTAGTTGTAATGATAACCTTAAGCAGACACTAAAATTTATATTGTGCTCCTCGTAGCCCCTATGGGTCCCTGTATTACATTGTCCTATAAATACAGAAAATGTGGGAAGAACTAACCATTTAGTCAAACTCACCAATTGAAATATACTTTTTTATTGTATTTTTCTTTTTTTTAAACTGGGCCCAGATTCATGAATTCTTCACCCAGAGGCAGATAATTTATAGACTATCTAACTCTTCAATCCTAATCTAATCTGGTGTATTTAGGGATAGTCTGTGCTTGAGAAATGGTTTGTTTATTTATTCAGCAGTCTGTAGGGTCTGAAGATGTCTCAGGATGTCCGGTTTGTGAATATGTGCTGTGTGCCTTTACATCCTGACCATAGATAGCAGTGCTGAGAACCTATGTCTGCTAGAATGTCTTGTTTTGCTTTGAGATTGCCATATGAGAGTATTGCAGAATTGTAAAACACGGCAAAATGTCAGAAAAGTTTAATTTGGTCCCTGGTTTAGAGTCATTGTTAAGAAATAAGCATGATTGAGGAATATTTGATGACTCAGAATGAAGGATTCTGGCACAATAAACCCTGACTTACAATTGCACAAGAAAAAGCCATTGCACATAAGGCTGAGTCTTACACAATCTTCTTCCAAGAAGATTACCTGTTATAAATCTGGTTCCAGTTTAACAAAGAAAGAAAGGAAAAGTATAAACTCTTTAGTACTGGCATAAAACTCTTTCGTGAAAAAACCCCACTGAAAATAAATGGAATATTAGAAAGATACATTTCTCAGTAAGTACCCTTGGATAATAAATGTAAAAGCAACAAATTGAAACCAATGTGGCTTAGTGGAAAAGTAAATCAAGAAATGAAAAATAAGAAAAGCAGATTTTAAGCATTTAAATTGGACAAATCAAAGGCATCATATAAAAGATATAAGGAAGCCAATAATATGTGCAAAAAGGCGATTAGATTCTCTAAACTTCAAAATGATTAAGTGACCCCCAAAACCCCAAAGCATTTTTAGGTACATAACTTAAAATATATATATATATATATGTATATATATATATATATTTAAATGAAACTGAACCAGGATGGGAACATTACTTAATGAAGACCAGGAAAAGGCAGACATTTTAAATAACTTTTTCTCCTCCGTATATATTAAGGAAAAAACAATGGCTATAGATATGCAAATGATTGCTGCAAAAAAAAACCTGCTGAAAAGTTGATTAGATGACTCAAGACAACTAAAGGAAATTAGTACACACAAAGCTTCAGTGCCTTACGATACTCACCCATGAGTACTTAAGGAACTAAATGTGGACCTTTAGAATAAGTGAACCTCTGTTTTTAATCTTTCAAGATTCTTTTCTTTCAGGAATTTTACAGGAGGATTGGAGGAATGCAGACGTTAGCAAGATATTTATTTGCTGCAGAGGGATTTAGATAGGCTGTGGAACTGGGCATTCAAATAACAGATAAAGTGTAATGCAGAAAAATGCAGTTATGCACTTCGGAGTAATGAATGCACAAGCAACTTAAAGTCTTAATGGAAGTGAATTAGGTATAACAACACACGAGAAGGACTTGGGAATTGCTGTAGACAACAAACTATGCAACAATGTGCAATGTCAATCAGCACTGGCTAAGCCAGTAAGGTATTGTCATGTATACAAAATGGCATTAATTCTCGGGATGAGAATATCATTTTGCCTTTTTATAAATCGCTGATAAGACCACATCTTGAATATGCCACAATTCTTCTGGCAGTTGTGGGTGAAATATTTCTAAGTCTACCTGACCTTGGCCTGGTATCAAGAGATCCCCAAATTTTTCACTTTGACAGTACTTACAGGCATTTTCAAGGCCTTGAATATCTTTTTATATCCCTTTCCATCTTTATAAAGTTCCATTACCTTGTTATACAGTTCTTTTGACAGTTCTTTTCTGTTCCCAGACACAGACACTAATTGCAATTTAAAAAGCCACAGGTCTGGGAAATTAACCTTTAATTGCAATTTTAACCTGTGTGTGTCACCTTGTGTGTCTGTAACAAGGACAAACATTCAGGGATATGTAAACTTCGGGTCAGGGCCATTTGGGTGATTTCTGTTGTTATGATTTTAAAAGGAGCCAGGCAACTATGTGATAATGAATAGCATTATATGATCACTAGCCTTCAATAAAATACATTTTTTTTTTTGTTTGCATGACAAGTCATATTTTCAAAATCAATGCCAAAATGTCACAATTTCTGCCAGGGTATGCAAACTTTTGAGCACAACTATAGGTCCTTAACAGCAGCATTCTTTACATTGAGTCTGTTCAGACAGACAAAATTAGGAGGCAGCCCTATCAGTTCATATGGGACAAAGGCACATCACTTGCCACAGTGATAACATCATATAGCTCTACAGCCCTCTTACTTATTTTTACCTCCACATCCCACTGTTTGTCTTTATATTTCTTCTTCCTTATAGTGTTTCCTGTTAGGTTCCAAGCACACTGTAAAATGTTCGAAAACAGTTTATCTTTCTCAATTAATAAGCAGCTGGTACTTATAATCTAGCATTTAAACATTGTTAACTGTTTAGTAAATTTTAATACGTAATGTGTCGGCACAGCCTCATCGTTTAAGACTGTGTTCATTAAGGCGTTCTTCTTTTGATAAAACATATTAGATATACAATCTCCATATATATTTTTTTAATTGCCTGTAAGTTTACAAGAAATAAAATGGTTTATTTTTTAAACTACAGTTTAAAATATGTCACATATACCCATTCTCTTGCGATAGCAGCTGATAAATCAATCGGAAATAGCAGTAACAACATGGAACAGGAGAAATAGGGTACAACTCCACAAAAGCATTTTATTCTTCCCTAAGTGTCTCTGCTTACAGATTCTCGATTGTAATAATCTGAAATGTATATGTGTTAACAGACTATAATTTATATCCTGGGGTAATGTGGAGCTCCCTCTCCTGTTTCCCTGAGGTGTCATCAGCCGATCAGAGTTTAACTTATATCTCAGGCTTTGTATAAAACAGGAAGGGTTACATGTCACTTAAATGTACCCTAGACGAAAGGGAAGACATTATCATAAAGAGATATGCCATTTTTTATAAAGATTTTATGTTGCACAATACAGTGGCTGTCTTGTAAAGTAGAAAGTATGCTTCAACTGAGTCTTTTTTTCCAAAAATTATCCTAAGATTTAAAACACTAGAATTAGTTCCTCTTATGTTGTTCCAATGTATCTAAATGTTTATTCTAAGTGTTATATGTATTTAACCCACGCAGACCTCAGTACTGATGAGTCTTCTCATACATTCTTGTTTTTACCTCATCCTATATGAAAAAGTTTTATAAACAAAATTTGTTTTATACAATCTAGTCTGTGTGTTATCATTTCGCCTTGATATATGTCTCAGTGTGATGAAGCTTTCCCGTAATCCAAGTCCTACTTAACACAGAGGCTGTGCATTAGCGATGGCATTTTCTCAGCCTCTTAGTTAGCAGGAACTTAATTTCTCTGCATGGTGGATGTAATCGCAACATAGACCAGATCTGCTAAGGTGAGTTGAAAAGGGTGTTCACATGCATATTCCATATTCCATTGTGAGAAACTGTGGAATATAAAGATCTTCATATAAATCTGCAAAAAAACAAACAAACAAAAAAACACCACTTTAAAGACAGTAACCATTAAAGCATGCTTTACAGTTTGCAACAGTTTGAAAACGTACCTGATCCACTGAGTGACAGTTAAAGCATCCTGTAGAGCTGGAAACTCCTGCAAGAAGTGTCGATTAACCCCACTGAGTAAAGCCATGCCATAGTGTCACCTTAGCACTCTCAGCCAGTTAGTTACACATTGCACTACAGCATGCTTTCATGGCCCTGATGCTTGGAGTATTCCTTTAATAATTACAACACTAATAGGACAACATATTAACCAGATGTATATACCACAGCAGTTGGTATTTTCTCCATTGAACATATTTTTAGCGCATAAAGCATTGTTGTGTGCCCAATAAACAGTGAGCTAGGAGGGAACCTACACCAATGTGAAATAACATTAGAGAGCAACATATGTTATTTCTGTTGATGTAGACTGAAACTCCCATCACTCTGTCTGAGAATATCAAAGAGATGCAATGAGGACTGCAGTGAGTTTGGCAGTAAAAGCAAGTCACGTCAAGTCAAGTCAAGTCACGTCTTCTTTATATTTTGCAAAATAAAGTATTTTCAAGTTAAAGAAGTAAATAAACAGTATGAGCAAAGCATGGGGTAATTGTGTGCAGAATACAAAGAGAGTGTGTAATGAATAGATTGGAAAACTATATGAATCACAGCTATGTGTGCTCACCAAACCATTTGGACTTGACATCTATAAATTTAAGGCCTGTAACAAGTATGAGTATCACATCAGTGATGTTTGATTCAATTGTTGGTCTTTGTTAAAGCTCACAGGAAGGTTACACTACACACAGAGTACCTAATGGTACTAAGTTACACGGGTATGTTGGAAACTGCTTGCTGAGGTCACTCACACATTTATGGAACTTGTCTGAAGTTATGACCACAGTTATAAAGTGCAACATGTTAATAACAACCAGTTTACCACCTGGATATATTAACTAAAATGTAAAAGTCTGCTGTGCCACAAAATGTAGGGGACTTGACATTTGCACAGACGTTATTCGGCATGTGCTACCACCTTACACTTAAATAAGACACGGACACCGATAATTCTGTTGGAGTACAAAGCTTTATTAATTATTCATAATAAATTAACATAATTTAGGGTCATTGTCCTACTAGACATTATGTTACTATACCCCCACACAGTACCCCTGACAATGACCCTACCAGTTGAACAATAAATAACAATCAAATAACATATAACTTGAAACACACGGCCTACCAAAGAGGCCCCATATCATCTGGTTAAATGTAGGGGTGTACCTCGGATACCCCTACA